TCAAGTCCCCGCCTCCAGCTCCCCTTTTCTCCTCTCCTTCTCCTTCCGGGCCTGGGGTCTCCTTTCTCCCTGCCCCAGACCCGCCCCCCTCTCCCGGCAGTGCACAGCCCTTGAGGTCACAATACTGCTGCCCTCCTAGCTCCGGGGTGTGTGAGGGGCGCGGCCCCTTGGAGGCGAGGAGAACCGCCAAACCCAATATTCTGAGCTCTGGCGCCCTCTAGTGACCGCTGTGGAGAGGACGGCCATCTAGGCAGAGACCTCCCCCCACCACCCCTGCCCACCTCCAAGAGGCATTTCAAGCAAGTCCCTGACCCTGGCTGAGCCTCAGTTTCTCATCTCTAAACTGGAGCTGGCGACTCTTCAGCTGTCCATACTGTGGTGAGGATGTAACACGCCCCCTTACACGGAATCCAGCAGCCTCCAGGAGTTTAGCACAGAGTTGGGGTTTAGACCTGGCTCAGGAATGTCACTCTGGACTGAGGCTCCCCACCAGCTGCAGCCTTGCACCAGCAAAGCCTAGAACAGTCAGGATCCAATCTTAAGGATGCTCTCCATGTTCTCCCACCCATAAGTAACCAAGTCAGAGGATACCTACTGTGTGCCACTCTCCAAGTCAGCCTCCTGACAGCTCAACTTCCCTCTCTGCATTTACTCTTTGCATTTACCAACCTTGCTCCAGAGACCTTTGTGGCTTCTTTTGAATAGATGGGGAATCTAAGCCTCAGAAAAGTTAAGTGACTTGCCTGAGGTCACACAACTAGTGAATGACAAACCTGAGATCTGAATCCAGGTTTGAATCTAGGATTCTATAACTCCTTAACATGACCCCTTCTATAGAAGAGGAGCAGGAATAGAGGACAGTCACTGGACCCCCCCCCCCCCCCCGCCTCGGAAAACAGGCTATGGACCCCAAGAGAGTAGGGACATGCTGTTTTGTCTAGTACTGGCCTGGAACAGAGTAGGTGCTCAACCAACATTTGTCCAATGAATAAAAACCAGTGATCTGGCTGATTTCTGTCCTTTGTGGAAGCATACAGCTCACTCCCTCCATAAAAGTGGCTTATTAATGTATCACTGAAAGAGATTTCTTACGTTGCCATCTGTAGGAGAATCCCTATAAAGTCAGAAATCAAAAAAGGAAAAAAGGTCTGATATCTGGGGCAGAAAGTGACTTTACTGACAAGGCAGGATCAATTGCCTTTATGGTTGATGGGGTTCCCTCCCAATTCTCAAGGACTGCCTACAAACTGCCGTTTGCAAAAATCAGCGGGGCTTGGGGGAGGGACTGGACCCTTGCCTCCAACTTTGCCTTCTGCCTTACTGCTGTGTTTAGGGGTCTGGGTCAGTTTCCCCAAAGATGGTTATCTACTGGTGCCGGTGGTTCAGTCATCAGCCCCCTGTCCCCACCCCCGCCCCATTCAGGCCAAGTTTTCTGCTGTGGGACCCCTCCCCGGCCACATAAGAATACAGACCAATGGTAGGTGGGAGGAAGGTTCTGGAAACTCAGAACCTCTCAGAGGCCAGGCAATTCTGTTACTGTCTGGCTTCATGCTAATCCCTAAGGATCTAACTGGTAATCCCAACTTGAAGCAAACCTTCTAATGAATCAGTTGCAGATAAAACGGGCGCTCAAGCAGACCACTGCAGACCTCTTGTGCTCTCAACAAGAAATGAAGTCTTGTTTCTGCCGTAACTGCTGTTTCCAGAACCTCAAGGTCGAGTTTGGTTTCCTCCTGATTTCCCAGGCCCAGCTGCTTGCCGTCTGCCCACGCGCCGC